TTGCCTGGATATCATCTTTGGAGAGGGTGCACTTGGAAGCTGCTGGGTCTTCATCGTTGGAGGAGGAGGCTGGGCATATTGGATTGGAACAGCATGCCAACAACGCTGGAACGGAGGTATTGCTTAGTTGTTAAGGAAAAGCAGAGGTGAGTTGGTTTCATTATCATTTTTGCACTCTTACTAATTAGTACTAACATTTCCCTCCCCTCCCCCACTCTCAACACATTTTTTGTAGTAGTTTTTTCTTTTTGTATTTTGTTCTGTTGTTTTTTCTTTGTCTAATCTTCTCTGTTCTCTCTTTGCCGGAATGTCATCGTTGGAGAGGGTGCACTTGGAAGCTGCTGGGTCTTCATCGTTGGAGGAGGAGGCTGGGCATATTGGATTGGAACAGCATGCCAACAACGCTGGAAAGGAGGTATTGCTTAGTTGTTAAGGAAAAGCAGAGGTGAGTTGGTTTCATTATCATTTTTGCACTCTTACTAATTAGTACTAACATTTCCCTCCCCTCCCCCACTCTCAACACATTTTTTGTAGTAGTTTTTTCTTTTTGTATTTTGTTCTGTTGTTTTTTCTTTGTCTAATCTTCTCTGTTCTCTCTTTGCCGGGATGTCATCGTTGGAGAGGGTGCACTTGGAGGCTGCTGGCTCTTCATCGTTGGAGGAGGAGGCTGGGCATATTGGATTGGAACAGCATGCCAACAACGCTGGAGTAGAGGTATTGCTTAGTTGTTAAGGAAAAGCAGAGGTGAGTTGGTTTCATTATCATTTTTGCACTCTTACTAATTAGTACTAACATTTCCCTCCCCTCCCCCACTCTCAACACATTTTTTGTAGTAGTTTTTTCTTTTTGTATTTTGTTCTGTTGTTTTTTCTTTGTCTAATCTTCTCTGTTCTCTCTTTGCCGGAATGTCATCGTTGGAGAGGGTGCACTTGGAAGCTGCTGGGTCTTCATCGTTGGAGGAGGAGGCTGGGCATATTGGATTGGAACAGCATGCCAACAACGCTGGAACGGAGGTATTGCTTAGTTGTTAAGGAAAAGCAGAGGTGAGTTGGTTTCATTATCATTTTTGCACTCTTACTAATTAGTACTAACATTTCCCTCCCCTCCCCCACTCTCAACACATTTTTTGTAGTAGTTTTTTCTTTTTGTATTTTGTTCTGTTGTTTTTTCTTTGTCTAATCTTCTCTGTTCTCTCTTTGCCGGGATATCATCGTTGGAGAGGGTGCACTTGGATGCTGCTGGGTCTTCATCGTTGGAGGAGGAGGCTGGGTATATTGGATTGGAACAGCATGCCAACGACGCTGGAAAGGAGGTATTGCTTAGTTGTTAAGGAAAAGCAGAGGTGAGTTGGTTTCATTATCATTTTTGCACTCTTACTAATTAGTACTAACATTTCCCTCCCCTCCCCCACTCTCAACACATTTTTTGTAGTAGTTTTTTCTTTTTGTATTTTGTTCTGTTGTTTTTTCTTTGTCTAATCTTCTCTGTTCTCTCTTTGCCGGGATATCATCGTTGGAGAGGGTGCACTTGGAAGCTGCTGGGTCTTCATCGTTGGAGGAGGAGGCTGGGTATATTGGATTGGAACAGCATGCCAACAACGCTGGAGTAGAGGTATTGCTTAGTTGTTAAGGAAGAGCAGAGGTGAGTTGGTTTCATTATCATTTTTGCACTCTTACTAATTAGTACTAACATTTCCCTCCCCTCCCCCACTTTCAACACATTTTTTGTAGTAGTTTTTTCTTTTTGTATTTTGTTCTATTGTTTTTTCTTTGTCTAATCTTCTCTGTTCTCTCTTTGCCGGGATATCATCGCTGGAGAGGGTGCACTTGGAAGCTGCTGGGTCTTCATCGTTGGAGGAGGAGGCTGGGTATATTGGATTGGAACAGCATGCCAACAACGCTGGAACGGAGGTATTGCTTAGTTGTTAAGGAAGAGCAGAGGTGAGTTGGTTTCATTATCATTTTTGCACTCTTACTAATTAGTACTAACATTTCCCTCCCCTCCCCCACTCTCAACACATTTTTTGTAGTAGTTCGTTCTTTTTGTTTTTTTGTTCTGTTGTTTTTTCTTTGTCTAATCTTCTCTGTTCTCTCTTTGCCGGGATATCATCGTTGGAGAGGGTGCACTTGGATGCTGCTGGGTCTTCATCGTTGGAGGAGGAGGCTGGGTATATTGGATTGGAACAGCATGCCAACAACGCTGGAACGGAGGTATTGCTTAGTTGTTAAGGAAGAGCAGAGGTGAGTTGGTTTCATTATCATTTTTGCACTCTTACTAATTAGTACTAACATTTCCCTCCCCTCCCCCACTCTCAACACATTTTTTGTAGTAGTTTTTTCTTTTTGTATTTTGTTCTGTTGTTTTTTCTTTGTCTAATCTTCTCTGTTCTCTCTTTGCCGGGATATCATCGTTGGAGAGGGTGCACTTGGATGCTGCTGGGTCTTCATCGTTGGAGGAGGAGGCTGGGTATATTGGATTGGAACAGCATGCCAACAACGCTGGAACAGAGGTATTGCTTAGTTGTTAAGGAAGAGCAGAGGTGAGTTGGTTTCATTATCATTTTTGCACTCTTACTAATTAGTACTAACATTTCCCTCCCCTCCCCCACTCTCAACACATTTTTTGTAGTAGTTTTTTCTTTTTGTATTTTGTTCTGTTGTTTTTTCTTTGTCTAATCTTCTCTGTTCTCTCTTTGCCGGAATATCATCGTTGGAGAGGGTGCACTTGGATGCTGCTGGGTCTTCATCGTTGGAGGAGGAGGCTGGGTATATTGGATTGGAACAGCATGCCAACAACGCTGGAACAGAGGTATTGCTTAGTTGTTAAGGAAGAGCAGAGGTGAGTTGGTTTCATTATCATTTTTGCACTCTTACTAATTAGTACTAACATTTCCCTCCCCTCCCCCACTCTCAACACATTTTTTGTAGTTGTTCTTTCTTTTGTATTTTGTTCTGTTGTTTTTTCTTTGTCTAATCTTCTCTGTTCTCTCTTTGCCGGGATATCATCGTTGGAGAGGGTGCACTTGGATGCTGCTGGGTCTTCATCGTTGGAGGAGAAGGCTGGGTATATTGGATTGGAACAGCATGCCAACAACGCTGGAACAGAGGTATTGCTTAGTTGTTAAGGAAGAGCAGAGGTGAGTTGGTTTCATTATCATTTTTGCACTCTTACTAATTAGTACTAACATTTCCCTCCCCTCCCCCACTCTCAACACATTTTTTGTAGTAGTTCTTTCTTTTTTTTTTGTTCTGTTGGTTTTTCTTTGTCTAATCTTCTCTGTTCTCTCTTTGCCGGGATATCATCGTTGGAGATGGTGCACTTGGAGGCTGTTGGCTCTTCATCGTTGGAGGAGGAGGCTGGGCATATTGGATTGGAACAGCATGCCAACAACGCTGGAGTGGAGGTTTTTTTTTGTTTGTCTTTGATGTTAGGTCTTTTTGTTATTTTAGTTCTTTCTTTTATGTGTATATTTTGTTTCCTTTGTTAGTATTTGTTGTTATTTGTACATTACGTTTTTATTATAATTGTTTTTCTTTATTGAGTTGTTATTATAGTTTTTTGTTTGTGAGGGTTGTAGAAGTTGTTAATTTTGATGTTTTATTTGTTAATTGTTACATTTTGTTTTTGATGTTTTTATTAGTTGATTGAAATGTGGCAGTAATGAGTTTTAGTTGTTAGAAGATTTAGTTATTTGCTGTTGTTGTAATTTTTTTTATTATTTGTTATTGTTATAAGTGTTAGTTAGTTGTTATTGTTATGAGTTTTAATTAGTTGTTATGAGTTAAGTTATTTGTTATAGTTATGTGTTTTAGTTATTTACTTTAGCTGAGATTTTTATTAATTATTTGTTATGATAGTTATGAATTTTTGTTAATTATTGTTGTGATTTTTATTTGTTATTGCATTTATTATTCCTAAGAATATGTCTAATGTTCATTGTTGTGTTGTGCATTAGCATCATCATTATACATGTTGGATAATGAGGAAACAGTGTGTTTCACCCAGAACACCTGTCTTAATGAGGGCCTTATTACAGTAAAACTCGATTATAACAAAGTCACTGGGACCTATGACATTCCTTCCCTATATCCATAATTTGTTATATCCGTGTAATGATTTCATAAAATTTATACAGCTAGGGATTCAAGATAATTTCACTATATGTATCTGTGAAGTCACAATATCTGTGTTTGTACCAAATGAGTTTTACTGTATCTATTATTTCAACTCTATTTTAAAATTTTGTTAGTTTTTTATAGTCGGACAATACACTAAAGAAATAGAGAAATAAGCCAAATTCGAAACCATCATTGATAGGGTAAGATAGGAAATATTGAATTGATAATACTGTAAACCAACTTTTATTCGCGTGCGAATTTTCCATTCATTGATAGGGTAAGTCTCTTTTTCTATTAAGAATAGCTCCACATTGAAAATTGATCGCGAAATAATTGAAAAAAGTTGGTTTACAGTAATTGAAAAATACAGTAAAACTTGGTTAAAACAAAGTCATGGGGACTTACAAAATTACTTCACTATATCCATAATTCATTATATTCATATAAGGAATTTGTTAAATTTATTAAGCCCTGAGATCCAAGATAATTTCACTATAACCGTGAATTAGCAATATCCTTGTTCATACTGAACAAGTTTTGCTGTTTATAGAAAACTGAAATGAAGTATTATTGTTAGATTATAGATTTATAATGTTCCATTTCAAATCAATAATATACAGCCAAACTTCATAGTAATACAGCAGAGATCTTTCTTAGGTGGTCATTTTATATTTTTCAATGAAATATTGTATAAAACTTTTTTATAAGTGGTCACCTTTATTATGCATTCATTTTAAACAAATCAAAGACCAAAAATTTAAGAACAGAATAAAAATGTAAATGTAAGAAATTAAGGAAATCTTAGTTGAAAGGGACTGAATAGGGTATTTTAGTGTAAAGTGCATGCAGTGAAATAAAGCTGTTGATATTTTTAGCAGATGCACCCTACTGTCCTTGATGGCAACAGCAGATGCACTCCACTTGACTTGTTGGATACAGAAGATGCACTCCACTTGACTTCGTGGATACAGAAGATGCACTCCACTGGACTTGGTGGAAACCGCAGATGCACTCCACTTGACTTCGTGGATACAGAAGATGCACTCCACTTGACTTGTTGGATACAGAAGATGCACTCCACTGGACTTGATGGATACAGAAGATGGGCCCAACAGGACATAGTGGATACAACTGGAGGAGACTTGCCTGATGATGTTGACCTTCCAAACAAGACATTTCAAAGGAGATTATTGACACTGATCAGGTACATGTGTATGAGATAATCAAGAATATTATACTTTCATGTAAATAAGTTGAATCTGATTGGTTGAAAAACATCTGTTAAAAAACACTATTACCCGCTGAATAATGAAGCCATGCCCTCAAGCATAGCAACAGTCAACATTGCTTGATGACGGGTGCTATTCCCAAAAATAGCAACTGCATAGAATTTATGCAGGCATGGTTCACTGTGAAGTGTGGTATTTGTGAACAAGGTTCACAAATATGTGAACACAGTTCACAAATACATATGTATTTGTATAAAACATGCAGTATACCGTATAACTGGATTTTTCTATTTTGCTATTTTTTGTGAAATTCTGATAAGTCTTGCCAAGGATATTGAAAATCCTCCCAATTGTGATTATGTTGCTCCTACAAAGGTAGCTAACCCTCTATTTAAGGATGAGGTTGAAATAATAGAACCTATCCCAAGTTTTGTTGAGAAAAATGAATTGATGATTCCCCAAGTCTTAATCGCAAAAAATTCAATCGCAAAAAATACGTAAATAAAATCTGGAATTTTCAGTTGCGATCTTCGAAGTTCTACTTTTACAGATACCAGAAGTATATGTAAATAATGCCACTGCAAGTTTTCAATCGTATTTTACAGGTAATTTACTTGGTATCAACAACAATGATTGTTTTTCGAATAAATAAAACGATTTCCTTAAGATTCAATATTTATTTGTTCCTACATTGTATTTCATGATTTTATTTATATGAAACCCGAATAGCACTATTGTCGGTGTGGCTATTCCGCGGCTTGATCGGGTCCTTCACCAGTGTTTACCATATTTTTCTTAACCGGTATTCTGTCCTTGAGAAAATAATTTCTTGTGTAGTATTTCTTATACTGGGATTATATAAACTCTTTATAATCATAAATGAAAGTTCATAGTCTGTGGGAACTTACTGAAATGAACTTCTATAAATTAATTTCAAAGAATTAACGTCTCGGTTTCAATTCAAAATAATTGTGACTTTGTTTCTAATTTACCCTGTGAATAATAACCCATATGTTATAAGAACACATGGACGACCCACAATTATAGTGTCATCTATGTAAACACCCAATTAACAGCCCTAGGCCTTAATGTTTCCAGGTAAGTCCAGCCCACATCTATTTTTCGCTTGATTGGCGTGTATACAGGCGCAATCAAAACTTCGAGAGATAGAGAATCAAATTCAGTCTAGTAATATTATTCAATAAATATAGACTTTATTGTCAAAGTGAAATTGAAAAAATTAAAATCGCGAAAAATAAATATACCTATTTCAGGATCAAATCGCAAAAATTTCCACCCACATTAAAAACCAGTTATACGGTAATATACACTCAACTACATTCAATATTTATATATTAAAGATCATTTAATTAACCACGTCAATTTACTAGCTGACTTTTTATTTTTAGCCTGACTTGTTTTTAGCTCTACTGGTCAGAGACAAGAAAGCTTGTTATAGTAAACAAGGACATGGCATGGTGGAAACAGCTGGAGGAGACAGGGCCAATGGATGCTAATCTTCCAAGATGTGTAAACAACAGATATCCTCAACAAGACGTGTTACAGCAGATGCATCCAACTGGACATTGATAGAAACAACTGGATGATACATAGCCAGTACATGCTGATCTTCCAAGATGTGGAAACAGCAAATGCACCCAACAGTACATGATGGAAACAGTAGATGAACCCAAAAGGACCTGACAGAAACAATTGGAGGATGAATAGCCAAAGGATGCTGATCTGACATTTATCAGGTATGTGACATTATCATAATCGAAGATCATTTTATTTATTAACTAGCTGGCTAAAATTTTAGCTGGTCTTATTTCATAAAGTCCGCAATAGCTGACTTTTGTTATGGTGTTTAGCTAGATAAACCAACTCTTTACACCAATATTGAATTTTTGCTTAATAATAAAAAGCATATGTTAAACCACTGTTGAGACAACATAACAATTATTTAAAAACTTAAATGAGGATTTTCCTTAAAAACTTCAGTGATGTATTTTAACCATTTATTTTCTGACTCTTACTGCAGCTGCAGCCAACACAACTGGAATAGACAAGCTTGATGAACCTCTTTTAAGATGGGAAAACAGCAAAGACTTCAAAAGGGACTTAATGAAATAAATCCTGAGGAGGCAAAGCCATTATGAATCTTTAGGCAAACTTGATGGACAATGATTTTCCAATATGTGAAAACACCAGCTACACCCAAAAGGAATTGGTGGAAAGATGAGAAAACAACAAATACTTTCTAAAAGGACTTGGTGAAATAAATCTTGAGGAGGCAAGGCCATTATTAATATTTTGGCAAACTTGATGGACAATGATTTTCCAATATGTGAAAACACCAGCTACATCCAAAAGGAATTGGTGGAAAGATGAGAAAACAACAAATACCGTACTTTCTTAAAGGACTTGGTGAAATAAATCTTGAGGAGGCAAGGCCATTATTAATATTGTGGCAAACTTGATGGACAATGATAATCCAATATGTGAAAACACCAGCTACACCCAAAAGGAATTGGTGGAAAGATGAGAAAACAACAAATACTTTCTAAAAGGACTTAGTGAAATTAATCTTGAGGAGGCAAGGCCATTATTAATATTGCGGCAAGCTTGATGGACAATGATAATCCAATATGTGAAAACACTAGCTACATCCAAAAGGAATTGGTAGAAAGATGGGAAAACAGCAAATACTTCTAAAAAGACTTAATGAAATAAATCTTGAGGAGGCAAGGCCATTATGAATCTTTAGGCAAACTTGATGGACAATGATTTTCCAATATGTGAAAACACTAGATACACCCAAAAGGAATTGGTGGAGAGATGAAAAAACAACAAATACTTTTCAAAAGGACTTGGTGAAATAAATCTAAAGGAGGCAAGGCCATTATTAATATTGTGGCAAACTTGATGGACAATGATAATCCAATATGTGAAAACACCAGCTACACCCAAAAGAAATGGGTGGAAACATTATAAACACAGACAAGCTTGATGGACAATGATTTTCAAAATGTGGAAACCACAAGATATCCCCAACAAGACTTGGTGGAAACACCCGGAGGACAAAATTTATGCCTGATGGATGTTGACTTTTCCACCAAGACATACCACAGTGGATAGCTGATACTGATCAGGTATATGACATTTTCATATTCCAAATCATCTTATTTTTTATATTAAGCAAGGTCTAGTTAACTAGTAGACTACTGTAGATTACTTAATTTTCGTGACACCTTATTTTTGCAAGATAGTCATTGACTCTTCATTAGCGAGACAAAATTTTCACGAATTTCTGGTTATTGCTCTATATAATCTTAAGGAATAAAGCATAAACACACTAAAAAGAACAAAAACGATCAGTTTCTCATACTTTGACAAAAATTTTTAATATGAGTGGGTCTTCGCTCCATTTTTTTGAAAGATAATCCTAAAAGTTTCCAATTGGATTTAATTTTCACAAGAATGATACATCTGATGTAATTTATGCTGTGAAATTCTAATTAAAGAAGATTGGGGGATAAGGCGGACAAAGTGCCTATAGTGCAACAGATAAGAAGTGAAAATTTAAACTCAATTATACCAAAATTTTAGTTGATATTTCATCTAATATTAAAGTCTCAAAAAAATTTCACAAAGACTGTGATTTTTTTTGAAAGATAATCCTATTTTTTGGTTTACAAAAAAAAGGAGCGAAGACCCACTATACCTTAAAAATACAATTTTGTGTCAAAACATTCACATCTTTTTGGGAAATACTTTAAGTCCATTAGTCAAGGGTCATATCACAAACCTGAATCAAATGCCCGAAATCATCATGAGGCATGTAGCATAGTGGTTAGTGCGTTGGTCTCAAAGTGATTAAAGTATGATACGTTGGATTTTTATTGCTAGGGTTCGAATTCCATGAATACCATCTAATATTTTTATAAATACCAGATTTTTTTCTCTCAGAAAAGTATTTTTCCACAAAATTACATAATTTCAATAATGAGAAGTTAATGTAAATACTCAATTCACATATTGAATATGATTTTTAATATCTGATGCTATGGGCATTCTGCCTGCCTTGTTCCCCCATCTTCTTTCACATTTTTTGTTGTTGCATTGTACAGTGGTATTTAAGAGAATCAGCTATAGAGTAGCATAGTTTAAAGGAGTTGATCCTACTATTGTGGGTTCGAATCCCACTGTGGGACAAGAAGACCAGTCTTTTACTGAGATCATATACACTGTGCTGTCATGCATGTTGCAGTAGGTGCAAAAAAATCCCTCACTGCTCCATAGCCTTAATACCAAGTATAGGTCTACATTTGTAGCCCTCCCCTGAAAAATGTTGCATTACTATATGAGTGAAAATTACTCAAGAGGGGCTGTCTGCTCGCAAAAAATTTATTCTTGTGTATATTTGCATTATTAATGTTTATATACAACAGAAACAACCGCTAGCGAAAATGTTGTTTCGCTAATTTTAAAATACCCAATACCTAAGTCACTAAACTAAGGTGTGAAAATATGGTGATCTACAGTACTGTACTGATTTTTGCTTTTTCCTAGCCTTAGAGGTCAGGTGAGCAATGTAGCATATAGGTCTCTTCTTAATTTTTTTTATTCAAACCTGACAATTATACCTCTGCCTATTGTTCATTTACAGAAAATCAAAGGAACTTTTAGAAGGAACATCCTTGTCATGAGATCATTATGTGTGGATGAAGAAGCAGGAATAAATGATTAATCCACACCTTCAAAGCACTGATGTAAATCCATTTTAGTAACAATGTTTTTTTCAAAGACTATTTTAAAAATATAAATTTTTGTAAAGGGTGTCCGAATTATGTCAGGGTATGGGGTCGCCCATTCGGACACGTGGGTTCTCTACGGGTACTCCGTCTTCCTCCCACACTGACCCCCACTTTTCTCTTTCTTCTTCATTAGCTATTATTATGCCAATGAGATGATAGTTCATTATTGTAATTGTTTTGATGAAATTAAATATGTTTCAGCTGATGTAATGATTGTTAAATAGGACATAAGTATTCATAGAATGTGTAAATTCTGTCAGCTGTTGTAGAAAGAATAATTTGTATTGTCACCTTTTTGTTATTAGCTTATTGTGAAATTGAATGCCGTATATATACTGATGTGACTAAATGTGCAGTGAAAGAAATGAATGTAAAATTGTAAAATTGCATTTGAAAATGTAAAATTGTGATTTGCGTCTAAAAAATGTTAAATTGCCAGTGATTTGTAAATGAAAATTAATTTGTGATTTGTTAATGTTAAATTAATGATTTAGAATGTTAAATTGTAAATTGTTAAGTGAAAATGTGAATTGTCATGTTGAATTTTGAATTGTAAATTTGAAATTATTTTTATCTCATTGGCAAGTTTTGTGCCAAAAAAAAAAACAAACAAGAAAAAAAAAAAAAAAAAAATTAAAAATAAAAAAAAAAAAAAAAAAAAAAAAAAAAAAAAAAAAAAAAAAACAAAAAACAAAAAAAAAAAAAAAAAAAAAAAAAAAAAAAAAAAAAAAAAAAAAAAAAATGAAAAAAAAAATTGTGAAAAAACAAAACAAAACACAACAAAAAAAAAAGCAGAAAAAAGAGAGAAAGAATAAAAAATGAAAAAAAGGCACAAAACTTTTAATGCTGCCTGCTTGAATTACCATGTTTTTTCAAGCAGAAGGTTCCAAGCCCTTAAAAGCAGAGGAGAAGTTTTGATGTTTATATGTACATTACTGTGGACATCCATGTCTATCTCTATATGTAATTTTAGATTTTTTCAGTATAGATACTGTAGAGTTACTTTTTTTCCAGGGGGTCATAATTCCGTGGAATCTCAATTTCTGTTTCATCTGTGGGTTGAAAATTACGCATATCTCTTAGACTGTTATTATATGCCTTACTTTTATATAAGTACACTTTGACAAATTTGTGACTGCATAAATTAATACCACGCAGAAAAATGTATTTCTACAGTATCTGAATTCCATGTGAAGCATTCATACCCCTCAGTTTTTGCCCAACCTACGTACTCCAAGCTATGATTTGAAAAATATGAATCTGCACCATACAGGGATAATAAAATCTCTCTTTTCTTTTGTGTTCTTGAGAAAATTGATTTTTCATACAATGTGTTATGCCTATTAAATTGACAAAACTACTTTGTTACAGAAGGAGGATGTGCATTTAATTTTTTCTCTGTAAGATTGTCATTGACAAGCTGCCCAGTTATCACGTAATATCTGAGGACCAGCACAAGGACTATAAGATTGTCATTGACAAGCTGCCGAGTTTTATCACGTGAATAATGTTGCTGAACTGGACCAGCTTCACAAGATTTGTGAGTATCATGACCTATTGCTATTCAATCTATGGGTATCTATTCGTCCAGTGTGTTCCATTTGAACATTTTCATGTTCTCTGAACTGAAGGGTGTCATATCAAATTTCACAAAGATTTTTAAAGGTGATTTTATGAATTTCTGATCCCTGCCCACCCCCCCCCCCCTGAAGACCTTATGGTGATTCTACTGTTTCTCTTTAAAAATATTATTATTTACTCCTGGACATCAAGCAGTCAAACTGTTTGATGATTGTAATTACATGAAATTTTCCAAAATTGTGAAAGATGGCCCTGTAAGATATTCTTCAAAGTTCCAAAATGCAGTTTTCTTTGAAAATCTCCTCTCTGGTGCCAACAAAGTTTTGGACATTTTGATGATTGCCTTAAAAACTGTGAATTTTATGGCCCCACGATTAAACTCAAAAACGGTAAAATATATCAATTTGAAACTTTCTCTGCTCCTGGGTATTAAGTTTATAGATGATGATTGATACTTTCCAGGAAATTGTGAATTTTATGGCCCCAGGGTCAAGGATTCTGGTGTTGGGGGAAGCCAATTGAAAAAGTGAAATTTTTCAACTTTTCTTTGTTTTTTAATATTTTTCATTTATTTTTGGAATATTATGAATTTTAGAGACACTTCTATGTGTGTGCTTACTATATATAGTTGTTTTAATATTGTTCTCTGCTCCTAGATATTAATATTTGAAAATCATAGTTATGATGCGGGTCAACCAAAATTGTGAATTTTATGGCCCCGCCATTTCGGTGTTGGGGGGGGCTTATGGTTATATAGGAAAATTCATAAATTCTTTGATTAAACCATTCTGACATAAGGATACATGAAATGCAAAAAACTACTTGTAACTCTTACGTAGTAGTACGTTGCAATTCAGTGTCAATCTTAAAAATCTTAATTTCCGTTTCACTGCTTTAGTGTTACTGGGCTAGATACGATATGTAATGTGTACAATGTGTTATTGAATATACTTTCCTAACGCCGAAAAAATAAACTAACTGATAAGAATGTTTTATTAATTAATTTCATTGAAGCTATTGCACCTCTTTAATAGATCAGTACAAAGGAAAGATGCGAATATTTACGCGTGGCGTTTGACACGAAATTATGAATAGTGGCCCGCCTTTTATGATTCTTAGACGGGTGTACTGTTGCCAAAGTATACACAAGTATATTTAAAGCAGTATTCCCAATAGCTAAATGGTTCGCGCGTTGGGAAGAAAAGAGAAAAAAAGGCGCATTCACGTTGGCGACGTGGATTCACTCCTCCTTGTGATCAAAATTTTGAATCACTTTTTAGCTCGATTTTACATGTTTTTTTTTTTCATGAATCGGACGGAAGACCTCTCGTTGCTCGCATAACATGATCGTATAACTAGTATTGTATCTACTTTTGTTTTATAATGCATACACTTTAGATTGAACAATGATGTTTTCATAATTATACATAACCATAAAATAATTATACACCCTTCAAAAAAGGGAGGGCATATTGCTTTGCAGCTGCCTGTCGCAGCAGTTGCACATGCTGAAATGAAATTTGACACACATTATGATATATTTATCATAAAAATGTCTAAGTCAAGTTTTGTTTTGAGTACGATCAACCTATTGATGACAGAGTTTTGCCCCTTGGACTTGGAAAAATTCCAATCATTTGGAGGAGGGGGCATAATTGTTTTACAAACATCTCTTGTTTTATATAATGTTCATTGTCCTCATTTTTTTTCCATTTTATTCACAGATTCCTGAAATAAATTGAAATGAAGTTGAACCGTATGGTTTATGCCTTAAAGATGCACATGAGTCAGGGTGCCTCCGACATGAAGTTATATAATCACAGTCCTGATATTTGGTTGTGAACAGATGAAGGACCTTTTGACATTTCTGGAGTCAAAACCTTTCTATAGTTCCTCAATAATTGCAGCAGGAGAAGAGATAAATGATCTTTACTTCCAGGTATGGATATAACAGAGACAAACATTACAAGTTTTCAAAAGCTCTATATTTTTATACCCCCCACAAACGAAGTTTGAGGGAGTATATAGGAATCACCTTGTGCGTCTGTCTGTCTGTCCGTCTGTGCAATCATGTCCGCAATCGTGTCCGGTCCATATCTTTCAAGGTCATACACACCCTTAAGCGGAACATTAGAATCTACTACTCCACACAAAGATTGCCCATGACCTAAGGGTGTATCATGACCTTGACGCAAAGTCATTTGGGGAAGTTCAAGGTCACTGGAAGAAAAATTTCATATTTTGTGTCCGGTCCATATCTTTCTTATGGATTAACTTGGTAGGTTCTCATTTCACTCAAAGATTGCCCATGACCCAAGGGTGTGTCATGACCTTGACCCAAGGTCATTTTGGGAAGTTCAAGGTCACTGGAAGAAAAATTTCATAATTCGTATCCGGTCCATATCTTTCTTATGGATAAACTTGGTAGGTTCTCATTTCACTCAAAGATTGCCCATGACCCAAGGGTGTGTCATGACCTTGACCCAATGTCATTTGGGGAAGTTCAAGGTCACTGGAAGAAAAATTTCATAATTCGTGTTTGATACATATCTTTATTATGGAAAAACTTACTTCTGAAAAACCCATTGGGGGGTATTTTGTCCCGTTTGGACAGTTCTAGTTTAAAATGTGCTTCAAACCCATTAAAAAAAGTGGAAGGGGGTTATTGTGAAAATGGTCAGGGTAAAGTGATTTTCATGGTTCTGGTGTATAAGAGTGGCACATACTCTATTGATAATTTAGTAAAAATAAAAAATTGCGTTTTTGCTAATATACTCCGAGACCTTAGGACATGTCAGCTGACAAGGATGATGATCCCAAACTTTGCAGTGTCCAACATATAGAATTGCATCAAAATCAATCCATAAATAAATGCCTGAAAAATTCAGAAACTTAGGTATGATCAATGATCAGACTTTCTAAGAAACATTTCAAGACTCCAAGGTACATCAACTTACAAGGTAGTTGGTTGTTAACATCCCTCCCATTAGAGATTTTTTTACACTATATAGAGATGTCATCATATACCAACAAATGGCTTCAGATTTAGACCTTTACTCAGCACTTGGGGTCATTGAACAGTTAGAGATCTTTTACTGCAGAGTCTGGGATGCCAATGCCTGCTCTGACACAGGGCTTGGGTTGTTAAAGTATTATTCAAAGAACCTGCAACTTTTAATTCACAGTGCCTAGTGCTTAGCAAACAAACACTTGCTACCTATTTTTATCAACATAGGTCAGTTGCTTCCAGGGATTGAACCCAGGACCTTCTGATCAGGGAGTAATCTCTTTATCAACTGAGTTACTGTGATGGTACAACTTACAAGGCTGAACGGTTGTAAACCTCAGCATGTGAAATGATGAACTAAATACTCTAGAACAAGGTTATTTATAAAATTCACAAAATGGTTCATGGTGACCAAACTTTTAGTTGACACACTTCAAGGCCCAAAGATGCATCAGCTGACAAGATTTGAAGATCAGTGGCATCATAATGTCCAAAATATGCATTAAAATTAATCTATAAAAAAGATGCGTTTTTGAAACACAA